ACGTGTCCCTTTTTCTATCTTTAGTTCCTCTGTAACCACATTATTTACAATAAGTTTTGCTTTTTGTTCAGAGTATATCGCACCTATACCATTTTCAAACCCTTGACCTACCCCCATCCCCCGAAGGTTCTTCATCATAAAATCCCAAGATATATTGTCGAAGGCTTTCTCGGCATCCACAAATATCAGGACTGCTTTAGTGTTAATGTTCACTTCTAGCATTTCCAAGATATCTACAATGTTCCTTACATTGTCTGATAGATGTCTTTTCGGTAGAAAGCCTGCCTGATCTCTATGAATCTCCTCCATCAAAATCGTTTTCAACCTTTTTGCTAAAATGTCAGCAAAAATTTTGTAATCCACATTTAGTAAGGAAATAGGTCGGTAGTTTTTAAGTTGAGTCTTTTCCGTCTCTGTCTTCGGTATAAGCGTGATATATGCCTCTTTCCACGTGTCGGGTGCCTTTTTTCCCTCCAAAATCTCATTGCATACTTCCAGCAAAGGCTGTAATAACCCCTCCTTCAAAGTCTTATAATATCTGGAAGTAAGTCCGTCTTGATTTGTTCAACTTAAACCCTGCCACATGACCAAATTCTTCAATCATTTCTAATACTCTTTTAGTACTAGATTCTGGCTCCTGTATACAGTAATTTTAAGATAATCAAAGCCTGCTGGGATGAAACTATAGCTGTTCCCTCATTTTTTGAGAATAATATAAAAACTATTTTGTTTTTTATACGTATTGGAAGCTGCCCAGAGTGGCTGGGGCAACCCAGCCAGATGAGCAGGGTATAAATAATAAAATGATCATCATCATTCATTGTGCTGGTTGCCAGTAACTAAACTCAGAGATGTAGACAGAACCCCACAGGTGCAGGGAATGTTGTATTGCCAAGTAAAATTCCTGAAGTGTTTTGAATGTGACAGTGTTTGAGGATGATGAGGAGCTAAAATATGGAAATAATGGGTGGAATTCACCAAAGCAGTACTGTCAGTGGAAGCTACAAGGATATGGACAGGCCTCTTGGACTTGTGAAACCAACCACCTGTCTCCTTGATCCTTGCCCATCCTGGCTTATAAAAACTAGCCGAGAAGGGCTGGGTGATGGTCTTCGCAGGGTGGTGACTGCTTCTCTCTGTGAGGGAGCCTTCCCAGACCCGCTGAAAGAGGCGGTTATCAAACTTCTTAAAAAACCATCGCCCAGTCTCAAATCTTCCATTCTTGGGCAAGGCGACTGACTGAATGGTTGCTGAACAACTCCAGGCACGCCTGGAAGAAGCGGACCATTTGGATCCCTTCCAGTGAAGATTCAGGCCTTACCATGGGACTGAAACTGCCTTGGTCACGCTGGTCGATGATCTCCGGAGGCGGGCTAGGGACAAAGGTGAGAGCTGTTTCCTAGTTCTGCTGGATCTCTCAGCGGCTTTTGATACCATTGACCATAACATCCTTCTGGACCGTCTAGAGGGGCTGGGAGCTGGGGGCACTGTTATACAGTGGTTCTGCTCCTAACTCCTGGGCTGTGTTCAGAAAGTGGTGTTAAGGAATGAGTGTTCAGACCCCTGGGCTCTCACTTGTGGGGTGCCTCAGGGTTCTGTCCTCTCCCCCATGCTTTTCAACATTTACATGCAGCCGCTGGGAGAGATCATCAGGAGGGTTTGGGCTGGGTGTTCATCAGTATGCGGATGATACCCAGCTCTACCTTTCTTTCAAATCAGAACCAGTGAAGGCGGTGAAGGTCCTGTGTGAGTGTCTGAAGGCGGTTGGAGGATGGACGGCAGCTAATGGATTGAGGTTGAATCCTGACAAGACAGAAGTACTGTTCTTGGGGGACAGGGGGTGGGCTGGTGTGGGGGACTTCCTGGTACTGAATGGGGTAACTGTGCCCCTGAAGGACCGGGTGTGCAGCCTGGGAGTCATTTTAGACTCACAGGTGTCCATGGAGGCGCAGGTCAATTCTGTGCCCAGGGCAGCTGTTTACCAGCTCTATCTGGTATGCAGGCTGAGACCCTACCTGCCCTTGGACAGTCTTGCAGGAGTGGTACATTCTATGGTTATCTCTTGCTTGGACTACTGCAATGTGCTCTATGTGGGGCTACCTTTGAACCTCTGAAACTGCAACTAATCCAGAATGCGGCAGCTAGAATGGTGACTGGGAGCGGCCGCCGAGACCACATAACACCGGTCCTGAAAGACCTACATTGGCTCCCAGTATGTTTCCGAGCACAATTCAAAGTGTTGGTGCTGACCTTTAAAGCCCTAAACGGCCTCGGCCCAGTATACCTGAAGGAGCATCTCCACCCCTATCGTTCTGCCCTGACACCGAGGTCCAGCACCGAGGGCCTTCTGGCGGTTCCCTCACTGCGAGAAGTGAAGTTACAGGGAACCAGGCAGAGGGCCTTCTCAGTAGTGGCATCCGCCCTGTGGAACACCCTCCCACCAGATGTCAAAGAGAACAACAACTACCAGACTTTTAGAAGACATCTGAAGGCAGCCCTGTTTGTGTATTTTAGGTAGAAGATAGAAAGTTCCTGGTCGAGGTTCTGTTGGTGTGTTGGTGAGGATCTGTTCTTGGATGTGTGGGGGTAGCTCCTTAATCTTGTTCAGTTCTTTTTTGTATTCTTGTGTGGGGTCTGAGTCCAATTTTATGTAAAAGGCGGTATTGGAAAGTTGTCTGTGAGCCTCCTCGACCAGGAACTTTCTATCTTCTACCTAAAATACACAAACCAGGAAATCCAGGATGCGCCATCATTTCAGGTATTGGCACTATTACAGTGGGTGTCTCCGGTTATATGGACTCTGTTCTGAAACCATATGCCATCAGTGCTCCCAGCTATGTACGTGACACCACAGATTTTCTGAGGAAAATACAATCTTTAAATAATCTCCCCAACAATACTATACTAGCCACTATGGATGTGGAATCTCTGTATACCAACATCCCACACAACGATGGTTTACAAGCTATAAGGAACACCATTTCAGATAAAACCACAGCAGACTTTGCCACCAAACTCTGCCAATTTGTCCTTACCCACAACAACTTCAAATTCGGTGATGACCTGTTCCTTCAGATCAGCGGCACAGCAATGGGCACCCGCATGGCCCCACAGTATGCCAACATCTTCATGGCAGATTTAGAACAACGTTTCCTAAACTCCTACCCACTCAAACCTCTCTTGTACCTGCGATACATTGACGATATTTTTATCATCTGGACACATGGTCAACAGACCCTGGACACCTTCCACCAGAAATTCAATGAATTTCACCCCACAATCAACCTAACAATGAATCAATCTATGCAAGAAATACATTTTTTGGACACTACTATAAAAATACAGGATGGGTGCATAGACACCACCTTATACCGTAAACCAACTGACCGACAAACATATCTACATGCCTCTAGCTACCATCCCAAACATACCAAACAGTCCATTGTATATAGCCAGGCACTACGTTACAGCCGTATCTGTTCCAATTCTACAGACAGAGCCTCTCACCTAGAATCATAGAATCATAGAGTTGGAAGAGACCACAAGGGCCATCGAGTCCAACCCCCTGCCAAGCAGGAAACACCATCAGAGCACTCCTGACATATGGTTGTCAAGCCTCTGCTTAAAGACCTCCAAAGAAGGAGACTCCACCACACTCCTTGGCAGCAAATTCCACTGTCGAACAGCTCTTACTGTCAGGAAGTTCTTCCTAATGTTTAGGTGGAATCTTCTTTCTTGTAGTTTGGATCCATTGCTCCGTGTCCGCTTCTCTGGAGCAGCAGAAAACAGCCTTTCTCCCTCCTCTATGTGACATCCTTTTATATATTTGAACATGGCTATCATATCACCCCTTAACCTCCTCTTCTCCAGGCTAAACATGCCCAGCTCCCTTAGCCGTTCCTCATAAGGCATCATTTCCAGGCCTTTGACCATTTTGGTTGCCCTCCACCTAAGAGACTCTCACCACATACACCCGGACAACACCATTACTGGCCCCAACAACATCACACATACCATCTCGGGACTATTTAATTGCTCATCGTCTAACATTGTGTATGCCATCAAATGCCAACAGTGTCCTTCAGCTCTCTATATTGGACAAACAGGCCAAACCTTACGCCAAAGAATAAACGGACATAAATCTGACATCAAGAATCACAAGACAGAGAAACCAGTAGGAGAACACTTCAATCTCCCAGGACATTCTATACAAGATCTCAAAGTAGCTGTTTTACTGCAAAGGAATTTCAGAAATAGACTGGAAAGAGAAGCTGCTGAATTGCAACTCATTACCAAACTTAAAACCATGGAGAGACCTGGTCTGAACAAAGACATTGGATTCTTATCTCATTATACATGACAAAGCCATTTTTCACCTTCTCACCCCTTGCTTTTTCCTGTAAGACCTATTGCAGTCCTTAAGAGTCGTCAACAGGCTCATCACAGCTATCTGCCAATCACCCATTCCCACCACCCTTCTGAGTAATACCCCTCCCCACCTTCTCACTATATAGAAGGATCTGGCAACTTCTGTTTCAGTGTATCTGAAGAAGTGTGCATGCTCACGAAAGCTCATACCAAGAACTAACTTAGTTGGTCTTTAAGGTGCTACTGGAAGGATTTTTTTTTGTTTTACCCAGTTTGTGTCAGCCACAGATGCCTGAGAAGCAAAGAAACTTGCCTCCATCATGTTCCAGTCACTTGGCTGAGTTCCCCTTGCTTTGGAGGTCCAGGGTAGGCTTTGCTGTCTGAAGGCTGAAGGGCATTAGCAAGGAAGACCAGGGACGATGGCAAGAAAGCTATCGGAACAATCTTGGACACCATGTTGTTTCAGTCCTTAGTGCTATATTTAATGATATACATTTGTGTTGCAAGAATCATTTTGAGGGCCTCTTGGGCCTTTAGAGTGGGATATAAGCAAACACATAAGAAACATATAGGGCTTGAGATGCTTTGTTGGGACTGTTGCTCCTAACGTTTCCTGTTTCTTCTTCTTCCAGATGCTGTGCCAGCTGTCAAGGACAGTTCCCAGGAGTGATGCTCCCCTCCCAGAGACGCTGTCGGTGGCTCTGCCCAGATTGCAGAGGTTTGTACTTAAAGAAAAACAGGACACACAAACCCAAGTCCACGGAAGTAAAACACAAGTGCTCGAGGAGATCTCTGCTCTGTCTCCACAACTGAGAATACAGTGGTGCCTCGCAAGACGAAATTAATTCGTTCCGCGAGTTTTGCCGTCTTGCGATTTTTTTCGTCTTGCGAAGCACGGTGTCGGGAAAGTTTTGGAAAAGCTTCAAAAATCACCAAAGTCTTTAAAAACCTCAAAAAAGGCTACCACACCGCGTTCTATGAGTTGCTCCTCGAAGTCAAGTCGCAACTGTATTAACGGTGTTAAGAAAAAGGAAACAAACTTGCAAGACGTTTCCGTCTTGCGAAGCAAGCCCATAGGGAAAATCGTCTTGCGAAGCAGCTCAAAAAACAAAAAACCCTTTCGTCTAGCGAGTTTTTTGTCTTGCGAGGGATTCGTCTTGCGAGGTACCACTGTAATTGAATTCTTCTAGCTAAGGATGCCGGATGGCTGAATCATGACCCTGTAAACATATACATGGGCTTTCCCACTTCCTCAGCTAAGCTCTGTTGCCACTTGGCTTCTGCTCTGCTTGTTTAAACAAAGCCACTGATTTCTTGGAGTTTTGCGCAGTTGATCATTAGCTACTGCCCAAACATTTTCATGTCATACTTCTTTAATAATGAAAGTCAATTCTCTTGACATTGCATTGTGTGAAGCAGTGTCGCAAATGTCGATTGATGCAAGTCCCCAACCCCTTTTTTGCTGCTTTCCAAAAGCATGGTTGGAGCAGTATACTGAAAGCAGTCTGAGTTTGATAAGCCTTTGAATGAATTAAGAGCTAAGCAGAGAATTCTTGCTTTTTATTTTATTATGTCCTGCTTTTCAGTCATGATTGGATCCCAATGTGGCTCACAGTAAAACAATCTGCATTAAGTACAATATATTGGGGAATTGAAAAAATGTACATTTATGAATTTTGAGTCTTCTTTGCTCTGTGCACTGATGGTTCTTAATGACTGGGGTAGGCAAGGGCTGCATTTAGGTTCTGTCGTATTTTAGCAGAGGATCCATTTACTTTCTCACATAGTAATTAATGACTGGTAGCCAGCCATTTGGTTCTATGGCAGGGTGGGGAGCCTTAGGCCCCCCCCCATCTTCCATCATCCCTAGTCAGCATGGCCAGTGATCAGGAATGATGGGAGTCCAGTGCCCTCTGCCCCAAAATCTGCTCTGGAGGCTGTTGCACAATGGGAAGTCCTTATGCTAACAGGATGACGTTGTTGGAGTCAAACCACGTACTCCACCTTTGACCCTGTGACACAGGGATGGTCCTTTGGGGAATTCACCCCAACCAGGGTTTTTGCAGTTACAGATAGGTAGCCGTGTTGGTCTGCCATAGTCAAAACAAAAAAAAATCCTTCCAGTAGCACCTTAAAGACCAACTAAGTTAGTTCTTGGTATGAGCATTCGTGTGCATGCACACTTCTTCAGATACACTGAAACAGAAGTTGCCAGATCCTTTGCCAGATCCTCTGCTTTCGTGTGCATGCACACTTCTTCAGATACACTGAAACAGAAGTTGCCAGGGTCTTTGCAGTGTAAGCTCTTGTTCTGCTGTACCCAAAGTGCCACAGTAATTGGTATTTTGCTAGTAATTACATGAACACCAGTAGACAGGGCAAGTTATTCCCCCACCCCCAAGTAGTAGATCACTTCCCTGGATAGGAGTTTTTAAAGGGTAGGTGCTGTAGCCAAAAAGATCCTGCTCTGCACTGATGCAGATCTCACTTCAGTTAAAGAAGGTACACTGAGCAGACTTTCACCCCACTCCACCTGCTGGATTACAAATCCTTGGGAAATCTGCACAGCGGAAGATGCCTGTTAATACTAAAGGTTTATTTCTTGTTTTCTATGTATCTTTCAAACTACACCTTCCTCTTCCTCATCTATCCCAGGGATGCGGAACCTGCAAGCTGTCCAGATGTTGGACAGTAACTCCCATCATCCCTGACCATTCACCCTGCTAGCTGGGGCTGATGAGATTTGGAGTCCAACAACAACTGGGAGGTCACAGGTTTGCCTTCCCTGTGTGAGCCCTTTCCTGTGCTCCCTTTCATAGAGGAGGGTCGGTTTCATGCTTCAGAAACATGGCTGGGAGACCTTTTCCTTGCCTTCATTTACTTCATTCCTCAGCTGCTTCATCTAACAAGCAGTGATGTGGAGTGGAATGTTTTTCTGTTTTCCTGTGGAAAATTTCCATTTCATATGATCATTAATAAAAATTAATGGATGCAAATTCCAAATGCCATATTAAGCAGGCTTGGCTATTTCAAAATTTTATTTACTAAGTGCAAGCAAAATTGACATGCTAAATTGGATAACTCTCTAGGGCAGGTGAAGGAAACTTTTGACCCCACCCCACCCTGGTGTTGCTGAACTACATTTCACATTATCCCAGGCCATTGTCCATGCTTTCCAGGGTTATGGGAGTTATAGTTCAGCCGCACCTGGAGGGCCACAGGCGCTCAATATCTTCTCTAGGGCACCAGAAAATTTTATCCAGATTAGCCATGTAAATGTGATTCAGTCTCTTCCCCACCCCCCATCACCGTTCGGAAGAATGGTAAGATGCAAGGTGTGGGACTATTGAATTGGTGCTCACTTCATACTCCTGGTAGCTTATCGGTTAACGTTGAATTATTTTCCTTGTGATTGACTTCCTTAGCACTGGGTGTTTGAGCCAATGTTTCTCTTTCTTGCACAGGTTTTAATCTTTTCTTCCTGTTCCTCTTTTCAGCTCAGAGAAGAGATTTCAATCGGGAGCAGAGATATTACAAGGTAAGATCTAGAGCTTACCAACATTTTTTGTTTACTTAGAAATATGAGTTGAAGTAGGGGGCGATGGGATCTGTGTGTGTAAACCCTGCTTTATATTATCAGGTTCTACACTTTGTGACAATCTCTCTGCCCCGCTGCCAAACACCTGCTGTCTACCTGCTGCAGGTGGGGGTGTCAGTGAGTGAAACTCCCATTGTTCTGGGCACATTTTGCGACTGGGGATTTCATTAGCGCAAGCAGTTTTTGAGCTCTGGGTGCAGTACTGCGCCTAAGATTTCAGATTAAAACTGCAGAGTGGGAGGAAAGGAAGACCTTTTCTGCCTCCCCACTTCCAGCTACTCTCTAAGGACCCTGGAGAAAACACCCTCTTAAGAATATTAGGGGGGTGGGCAGGGGAAGGACTAGACCATGTGAAAAAATGAACATAATATTTTAGCTGCAGTTCATTTATTTCCAGCTTTGTATTCTTGTTATAAAAAAGCATGCCTAGACATTCCGTTGTTGCACCCATAACCTCGGTTTAAGGTGCCCTTTGGCTCCTCGCTTTCCTATCTCTGTTTCTAACCTGTGTGTGCGTGTGTGTGTGTTTAAAAGTGCCCCTGGCTGCAGCTGGCCTGCAGTGACTTGCACATGCCTAACCCTTTAGTGCTTTAAAATCCTCCTGTGCCTGTGCAGTAGGGATTTAAGAGATAAGTGTATATTTATGTTTTATTCTCTTAAAAACACGTTCTGCCTTCAGTTGACAGAGGGACAGGTGGCTTTAAAATGCCACCCTCCCAGCCGGTTGATTGATGGGATATTCATTTTGGAAAAGGCTTGAAAACTCAAGTCACCCATTCAGAGAACAATCAAGACTTGGCCATGCCCTGGGATGGATGAAAGCATTAGGGTTGTTAGCAGAGGTAAGGGACGTGTCTCCAGTTCTCAGATAGCAGTGGAGGACTTGAAGCTGCATATTCTCTTGGATGATATGCCACTGGGAGCCCCATAAATGACTGGGATAGATGTGTGATAAGCAGAGTTCAGTGACAAAGCTTTGTATGGCAGAAGGTCCCATGTTCAATCCCTGGCATCTTGAGTCAGAGGATTTTGTGTAAAGGGTCTCAGAAAAAAACCATGGTCTGAGACCTTTTGAGAGCTGCTGCTTGAGTAGATGGCACTGGGCTATGCAAACCCTGACTTACTACAGTATAAGGTAATTTCATCTATGGCCTGGTGAGTTTGTGTTAGAGGTTGGAGATGGTGTCCTTTTCTTGTGCTCTCCTTTGAGTCAGCCAAGATGGCCAACAGGCTCACAGTGCAGCTTGGAGGTTCTGGGTTCATGGTGTTGCCTTCCCCGAATCCCTCCTCACCCCCTACCCTCTGCCCTTGCAGCAAATTGGTTGTGGTGTGTGCCAAGCCTGCCAGATGTCTCAGGACTGCGGCATCTGCAGTGTGTGTGTCCTGCGAGCCAAAAGCCCCGAGCTCCGCATTGGCATCAAATGTCTGCTGCGCCGATGCTTGAAGATTGTCAAAAAGGTACCACTGGCTGCTCCTTGCTTATTCCTCCCTTGTGTCCCTTTCCAGAAATTCTGCTGTTCCTTATTCTTGGCCTCCCTGCCCCAAATGAACTTGGCAGCCATTTCAAGCCTTAACAGTCCTTTTGTCTCTCTTTCCTTTCTCCCCGCACTCCTTTCCCATTGCAGGGCCTTGAATGTGGTATGTGTCAGGCTTGCAAGATAACTGAAGACTGTGGGAGCTGCCACATCTGCTTGCGGAGGCACAAACCAGGCATGAAGCGGCAATGGAAATGTCTCAAGCGCCGCTGCCTTAAACGCAAGGTGTGTATGCTTGGCCTGACTAGGTTCTGCATCCCATGAGAGTCTGTTGTACTTCCATCAGGGCACTGAGCAAAACAGGATGGGTGGGAAAGGAAGGAGAAGGGAGCAAAACAGGATAAGTGTGAAAGGTGTCAGGAGTTCATCCTACACTCGAGTAGGACCCTGGCAGAGACACATGCCCGACTGGCATGTTCTCTCCCTTCTGCTCTTCTGGATCGTTTTGGAGCTTCATAAGCTTTCTTCAGCCTGAACATCACAGTGACTGATGCCAACCGACACTGGCACACTTAGGGATCCACAGAGTTTGCGCAACATGAGCGTGACAGACCTCAGCAACTCAGCATTTTGGCTAATCTACTTTATTTACATATAAACACACACGGAGCACTGCAACATGGCTCCCTCTCCCTTTTGCATCAGACAGCAAAGAGAAATAGAACAAAGGACAATAGTCCCACTTCACAGAACACAGTAACACAAACATCCTGTCTCTGTCACTTCCCACTCTGTGGAGTCGAAACATATACCGTCACGCGAAAGACAACAATCCTATGACTGCAATCATGGAGCAGGAATTCTAACAAAAGGAAGGAGACGGGGGCATTGGGGAGGTGGACAAAACTGTGGTTATGACGTGGTTTTCTCTTAGGCAACATGCTTCTGCTGTTGCACCTTTACTGGACCACGGCAAGTTTGGGTTGACTTCTATACTTTTTTCAAAACATTTCATTGGTTTTTATATATATATATATATATATATATATATATATTTTTTATTAATTTTCCAACATAAATAAAAAACAATACAATAAACAATACATAAACACACAAACATATAAACACGTATAATTTCACAACCTCCTTTTCATATACCTTACTTCCCCGACTTCCCCATACCTCCCCCTTCTGCATCCCTATTTCAAAATTTCTTCCGCAACCCCTCGCTTCAATTGACTGATTACTCATTTTCTTATTCCCCCCCCCTTTCTTCTCTTACTTAATCAATTTACAGCTGTAATTCTATATTTTCTTAACCTTGACATTTTAGCACTCATCAATTTTACAACAATTCTTAAGGTAAACTTTAAATTTCTTCCAATCTTCATCCACCGTCTCTTTTCCTTGGTCTCGGATTCTGCCGGTCATCTCCGCCAATCCCATATAGTCAATCACTTTCGTCTGCCATTCTTCCAGCGTGGGTAGTTCTTGTGTCTTCCAATACTTTGCTAAGAGAATCCTTGCTGCTGTGGTAGCATACATAAAAAACGTCCTATCTTTTCTTGACACCAATTGGCCGACCATGCCCAGGAGAAATGCCTCTGGTTTCTTATAAAAGGTACACTTAAGAACCTTCTTAATTTCATTATAGATCATTTCCCAAAAGGCCTTAATCCTCGGGCAAGTCCACCAAAGGTGATAAAAGGTACCTTCAGTTTCATTGCATTTCCAGCATTTATTATTGGGCAAGTGATAGATTTTTGCAAGCTTGACTGGGGTCATGTACCACCTATAAATCATTTTCATAATGTTTTCTCTTAAGGCATTGCATGCCGTAAACTTTATACCGGTGGTCCATAACTGCTCCCAGTCAGCGAACATAATGTCATGACCAGAACATTTCATTGGTTTTATAGGATTGCCTTTTGTGCTTTGTTTAGAGTGCTTCCCAAGTCCTAAAAACATGCATTTTGTCAATCCCATTTCTGTGCTCTAAAGCTGTTACTGAGATAATGGTTAAATTCTCTTGGATTCTCTTTCTTTTTAGTTGTACGTTCATAAAGGCAACAGTCATGTTTCACACAATGTAGCTTGCATTCCAGTTGTGTGGTGCTTATTGAATTTATCAGGTTCCCAACTTTGAAATTAAAGTAGATGAATATTCTTTGTGGAGTAATACCATTGCCTGAGAGCTTCTGTCTTCATGACGATTATATTTTTGGGAAAAGGAAAGTGCCTTTCATTGAGCCATCCAGTGAAGTTAGTCTGCTGTTAATAGTTGTGAGATGGAAGGACTTTGAGAAGGGGCTTCGAGTGGCCTGCTTCAGAAACTTCTTCACTCTTGGAGGATGTCCCTGCCATGTAGATTTGAGTCCCAACGATATCTCATGAGTTATCCTCTTTTTTCTAGTTGACTTTTTTGTACTGTGTTTTTTAATCTTTATTTTATGTTAAAACATTACTAGGCTGCTTTTCTGGGCAATGCCCATCAAAGCAGCCTACAGCAGTAAAAATATAATACAAAATCAACAAATGCTACCCAGAAATTCTGTGAGTAGATTATATTGCCTAGTATGAAGATCAATAGCTTGATTATTACTGATACTAAAGGAAGTTTGGGAACTGACAATCATTTTCATCTGAAAAAATAACCTGGATGTCTGCATGATTTAGATAAACTCATCCCAACTCCCCAATTACTGTTCAATTCTGCTTTAAGCCATAGAATCATAGAGTTGGAAGGGGCCCCAAAGGTCATCCAGCCCAGCCCTCTGCTATGCAGGAATCACAGCTAAAGCATCTGTGACAAATGGCCATTCAAACTCTGCTCAAAAACCTCCAAGGAAGTAGAGCCCCCCCACCTTCTTAAATATAATTTTCACTAATTTTTTATTAATTTTTCATTAATAACACTCCAATATGGGCCACATTATTACAATGTCAAATCATACCAAATCATAATACAATTTATAAAGCCAATTATACATTCCAAATTAAACAAATTTGGTGACTTCCCATTCTTTGATCGTCCGGAGATAATTATTCCTAGGTCCTGTGCATAGTCTCATATATAATCCAAATACAGTAATTCCGATCTTGATTCAGCAATTCCTTTCTTCTGTTTTTGCAGCCACTAGTGTAATGCCTTTCACTCATATTCAAAAAATCCATATCTATTAACTTGCAAGAGGGATTTAAAGCCTGTAGTTTTCTGTGTGTAAATATTTTTCCTTTGTTCTTTCTTTCATGTTATAATCAATCATTCGTCTTCCACACTGTCTCCCTTCAAGAGCTGTTTTTTCCAACTGCGTCTGAGCAATCACCATCTTGTTTTCCTGAGCCAAAAGTATACAGTGGTACTTCGGGTTACAGATGCTTCAGGTTACATACGCTTCAGGTTACAGACTCCGCTAACCCAGAAATAGTACCTCAGATTAAGAACTTTGCTTCAGGATGAGAACACAAATCGTGTGGCGGCAGCTGGAGGCCCCATTAGCTAAAGTGGTACCTCAGGTTAAGAACAGTTTCAGGTTAAGAATGGACCTCCAGAACAAATTAAGTTCTTAACTCGAGGTACCACTGTACTGGCATCTGGCCATGGCTCCAGGCGGACATCCAGCTCTTTGTTCTTTCCATCTCTTTTAACAAGCTGATGTCTCACGAAAACAATTATAAGTCCAAACATCATAGTATTTCACACAGTCTTTCATTTGAAGAACTCCGTAGGTAGTTTCTAAAGTTTTTGTAAAGTCCCTCTTGCGTTCCATTTATAATTGTAATCCAATAGTAAACTCAATCCATTAATATCTTAAAAAACAGAAGTACTCCTGCTCATGGGAGCCACATTGGAGAGTTTCCAATTCATGCAGTTGAGATTTAGGAACCCTTTGGGGTTCCGCAGGGCTCAATCCTATCCCCCTCTACATGAAACAACTGGGTGGGGTTATCTGGAGGTTTGGAGTACGTTGTCAGCAATGTGCTGATGACACTCGGCTCTATTTCTCCTTTACATCTGCAGGTGAGGCAGTGGAAATGCTGGACCAGTATCTTGCCTCAGTAATGGACTGGATGAGAGCCAACAAACTGAAGCTCAATCCAGATAAGATGGAGGCACTGTTAGTGGGTAGTTCCCTAGATAAGATGGGTGGGAGGTCGCCTGCTCTTGATAGGGTTACACTTCCTCTGAAGAAGTGGGTACATAAAGGTAAAGGTACCCCTGCCCGTATGGGCCAGTCTTGACAGACTCTATGGTTGTGCGCCCATCTCACTTAAGAGGCCGGGGGCCAGCGCTGTCCGGAGACACTTCCAGGTCACGTGGCCAGCGTGACAAAGCTGCATCTGGCAAGCCAGAGCAGCACACGGAAACGCCGTTTACCTTCCCGCCAGTAAGCGGTCCCTATTTATCTATTTGCACCCAGGGGTGCTTTTGAACTGCTAGGTTGGCAGGCGCTGGCACCGAGCAACGGGAGCGCACCCCGCCGCGGGGATTCGAACCGCCGACCTTTCGATCGGCAAGCCCTAGGCGCTGAGGCTTTTACCCACAGCACCACCCGCTTGGGGGTATTCCTGGATCCTTTGCTGTTGCTCAAGGCTCAGGTGGCCTCCGTGCCCCTGAGTGCCTCCCATCAGCTTCAGCTGGTGGTCCAGCTATGCCCCTATCTGGACAGGGATAGCCTAACTACTGTTGCCTATGCTCTGGTAACTTCAAGGTTAGATTACTGCAATGCGTTATATGTAGGGCAGCCTCTGAAGGCAGTTCGGAAACTTCAGCTAGTGCAGAATTCAGTGGCCAGGTTGCTCACCAGAGCAAGATGGTTTGAGCATTTCATACTGATCCTGGTCCAACTTTACTGGGTACCAATTAGTTTCCAGCCCCAATTCTAGGTTTTGACCCATAAAGCCTTAAATGGCTCAGGACCGCAATACCTCAAAGACCACCTCTTTCCATGTGAACCTACCTGGACCCTGAGATCATCTCCTGAGGGCCACCTTCGTGTGCCTCCTCCTTGAGAGGTCTGGAGGGTGGCAGCACGAGAACGGGCCTTCTCTGCAGTGGCCCCCCATCTCTGGAATGCTCTCCCCAGGGAAGTTCGCCCTGCACTTTCGTTATACACCTTTAGGCTCCAGGCAAAAACGTTCCTTTTTAACCAGGCCTTTGGTTGATTTAATTGACATCCTATGCTCTTTTAAAATATGCGGTTTTTGGGAGGGCGGGGGGTATTGGGTTGTTTTCATTTTGATTACAGTGGTGCCTTGCAAGACGAAATTAATTCGTTCCGCAA